AAAGAAAAAAAAACTTAAAAAATTTTCCAAATTAAAACAGATTGTACATTTTTACTAAACTTATTAATATTCTCTCCTTTGACAGACATTAGACGCCATCTTTTCTACAAACCTGATTTTCAAGGTTAATGGTCACTTAACAAAAATCCTTTAAAAAGAAAACTAACTGTTGGGTAGGCACATAAACACGTTATTTTTAAAACACTATCAGCCCCGTTGTATATTTCTTGGATGATATTTCGAAATGTCAATAAATTTCTTTAATTTAGCGTAAGATAAATTTTCAAGTTCTTGAAAATATCACAAATACACTTATTTTAAATTTTAAGAAAATTTGTTACCTTCTAATAAATTTGGACCTTAAACTCTATTAAATAATTTGTGAGATATAAGCAAAAATGTAAATTTGGTAGCCATAGCAAACGAACGGTTATTGGAACCAAGGAAATTTGCCATTGTTTAATTCAAATAGAAATTATGATTCCAAGAAAATCTATTCATCATTTAAGTCCCAAAAGTTCATTCATCTCATCTCTTAACTAAATTCAAATATAAATTTTCATCAAATTCGATTAAATCAAACTTAAGATCTAGGAGTTCACAGATAGTAAAGACGACAACCATTTCTCAAAAATAGTTTATTAATGTTACATTAGCACGGAAAAGTTTTTTATGTTGAAAATTCGACATGTGAAATTTTGTACCACTACAATACCTTCCTAACTGTTTACGATGCGATTCGTAGAAGTAAAAAATAACTATGTATATAAAGTAGGAGACAAGACTAAATTGATTAAGAAGATCTCTAAAGGTTTGAATTTCTAATGATAAAGGATAACTCTCATTTCAATAAAATGTTGTAATTAATTTAAAATTATAATTGAAAATTTTTAATTTTCTTCTCTAAAAATTTATTTTAAACACATTTTATGGCGGATGCCTAATTAAATTGTGATATTTTGTATTTGTTTGTGTGTGTTTAATTAAGATAATCTTCTTCTGACCATAATAACAAATTAAATTTTTCAATTTTTATTTACTTAAATAATTTAATTTTGTTTAATTTTTAATTAATCTTCATTTGGATAATTAAAAATATTTTAAATTATCACAAAATTTTTTTTTTATTAAAGTTTTAGTTAAAGAATGTACACGGACCTTGTTTTTGTGAATTTGAATTAAAAATCCGTACAAAAAGGAAAATGCGAACAAACTCATTCTTTTGGCAGCTGCATTGCAACAGGAAAGATTATGTGATGGCACCACATTTTCCTATCCAAAATACAATTTTGTTGAAATTTTGATATTTTTCGAAAAACTTGATAATCGTAAAATTAAGTCAATCCAATTTAAAAAATTTTATTAAATTGTCAAAACAAAAATAATATTTAAATCCTTTTTAGAATTCATTTCTTAACATGAAGATCAACGCGTATATTTGTTAAATCGTTAAACAATATTTTTGCATAAATACTCGTAGAGACCTCATATTGATATTTTGTACAAACCCCGCATTTACATAATATAAGCATACAAATTTGTGTATTGAAGAAAATGCACATTTTTAAAATTATCTTATAAAAATCCCTTTTAACCATTTGTAAAAAAAAAATCAATATAAAAGCATCAATTTCAGAAAAATGATTTGCATAAACTCAATCCGATTAGCAATTTAGAATTAAATTGAGAAGAAAATGCAATACAAAATATAGAATTTACGAAATGTGCAAAATTAAACTATAATGCATAATTATATTACGTAATAAATACAATATAATTAAACATAATCTGAAAACCATTATGAAAATTTACAAACGGAAGTACCGTATGTAGAGACCTTACATTGGTACTCGTATAGAATTAAGGTTAAGAGAACGAAATTTACTCTTTTACCAAGAAGAACAAAAAATCTTAAATTTCTAACATTTTCCCTACTCAATGAAATCTGACTGCAAGAAAAAGCGATGCGATGCAACGAAGATATTCACAAACAATTCAGTAAATAAAAATAATATACATGCGTAAAATGACTCTACAAGCCGATTTGTAGCATAAAGCTCTCAGCTTATAATGACATGATTTAATGAAGCCCTGAAAAACGTATTACAAAAAACGTGAATTTCTCATAAAACTTTAGTTTTAAAAATTCACAATTCAATTCCATAATTGTCAATAAAATTAAAAGTTTATTTTCGAACAGTTAGCCTGTACTAAAAATCAAATTCACATTTTTCCTGGCAAATTAGCTTACTATTTCTCATATAATTTTAAATAAATGTTTATACTCCGTAATTACTTTAACAAGTCATTCGATTATGTTTTGTTCACATCCAATATGTTTTTTCATATTTTAATTTTGCATACAATAAGCTGTATGATGGCACTGATACTTGATTTCACATATCAAGTTTTCCCCGAAAACGCGCTCTTTCATAGTAGAAAAGTGGAAATAAACTCTTTTTAGTAAAGTGTCGGTCTGTCTGCTTAAGTGTATATTTTAAGTTCGGCTGGATTCGGCTGGAATGATCGAATTTTATATATGAGTCATTTTTGGCTGTGTGGCGCATTGACTAACTCTTGGTATGTCTTATCAAGTCTGGAAAACTGGCCATAAAAATTACATTTTACTTATCAGTAAACAAACTCTTTTAAATGTTTAATGTTATATGTATAACACTTAAAACCGAATATTTTTTGATATTTAGTCAAATATCGAATTAGAAATACAATTTTATGGTTTTAATTTATAACATCTTAAAACCTTATCTATTAAATTTTTATTTTAATTATATTTTACAAAATAAATTTTTGCTCAAATAATTTATTTATTATACTTTAATATTATTACTTTTATAAGAATACAATTTAATAATTCAATCATTTCCGAATGAAATAATATAATAATAAGAGTATTCAATAGGAATATGGTATATAAAATGTTAATTTAAAGGAAAATATTATTTAAAATAAACCTTTTTAAATTAGTACACCTGAGAAAACAATTCTTTTTAAATATATATGTATATAGGTTATTTCATTATATGGAACCTTTTTTTACAACTTTGATTTTAAAAGAATTCATAAGAATTCATTGATTAAAAAAGTAAATGCATTATATACGGATATGTATATATGATATATGTATATAACAAGGGGTTAAAGTTATAATATATAATATACATGTTCACTTATAGAGGTTAAAATATTGGATAAGTTTAAAAGATAGGGTGATATTGGATGAAAATGTGTTCGATTGAAATCAAAAAATTTGTGTGAAAAAAATAAATAATTTGTATAAAACCCGAGATCGCTAAGATGTGGAAACCGACGATTTACAAATAACTAGAACAGTGCTTTCAAGAAGTATAGAGTTATAGTTCTCTTATATCTTTAGTTCGCAATCGATATTTGTGTCAATAGTAAAACTATATACACCTGTGTTTGGAACAACACAGGTGTATATAGTTTTACGCTATTTTTAGAGAATGCGAACTCGTAAAATTTGTTTTTTAATATTGGTTGTTAGAATTCGATTCTGAACAAAAGTGCTATGTTACAATTAAATTGTTTTGATTAAATGAAAATTTGTTGAATTTGCAGAAACGTGTGTTCAAAGGTAATAAATGTCATTAAAATTATGTAGCGAATTATTATAGAAAGGTGTTATTGTTTCAGGATTGGAGACTACTTTAGCATTTATAAGAGCTTATATCTATAATCACGAATCCAAATGAAAATTTAAATAAAAATACTAGAATAAAACTTGACATAAGGTAATAATTTACAAATCACTCACAATGCGCAAAATAATGTTGTTAAGATCGGTTTAAATTTTATATATCAAATTTACAATTTTTCAGTTCTCTTTTGCTTGTTAAAGGAATGCAAGTAAACTATTTTTAGAGAGATATCCTTCTGTCAAATTGTGTTTCTCTCTTTTTACACTTTTATTTCTCAATTTTCTTTAAAATAATGATGCTGACGCTATTCGCCTCTTTTTCATTTAACTTTTTTTTCGAAAAAATTTGCAGTAGTTTTGCTGTAATTTTTAAATTTATTTTGACATGACTTTTAACAAATTTGACACGAATTTTCCCATTTTCCAAGAATAGCTTATAAATTTTCAAATAAAAAATTCCTTTCTTTTAAATACAGCCAATTAAATTTCCTTTATCTCAACTTAACGCATATACCTAAATAACAATCGTATAAATTTTATTATTTGTCTACATCTCTTTTTGCTTCTCAATAAATTTTTCATGATTAATTTTTAATTTTAATCCATCCTTATATTATAAAGGTTTCCGTCCCGCCTTCTTTTCTTTAGTTCGAGTTTATTTAAATAGTTAATCAAACATAGTTTTGTTAATTAACCTTTTAATGTAAATTAGAGATAATTTGTAACAAAAAAAAAAGCTGAATTTTTTATTTTTACCAAAAATTACAATAAAATGAATTTAATTAATAAGGAAATTTTGATGGAGTAATGAATGTTGATTAACTAAACAAATTCAACTTTCAATATATGTAATTAAAAATTCTGCTTCAGCCATATAATTAAACGAAAAAATTTTGCGCGATATTAAAGTTTTCCTCTTTGTTCCTTAAATTTTCGGTGTATCTGCCTGTTCAGAATGGAAAAATATGTTGCAAAGGGATTGCCTGAAAGAAAAATTATGATTTTAAGAGGAAACTATACTTGAAAAGATATTGGACTTACTTGTGGTACATTCATCAAGCATTGGTAAAATATAAATACAACAGTTAAGGACTTAAAATAAATTCCTTCCGGAAGCTTTAACCATTTTACTTGATTTTGATCTGCCAAAAAATGCCATAATACCGGAAACATTCTTTTTTTTTTCGATATTATTGCTTCGTCATAGTATCGCCGAAACATTCCTTTTAATATTACTATATTTTAATAGCCTTGAATTTTGACATTATAAAATGTGCAAGAAAATAAATTTTAACAAATTGTTTTTTATCTTTTCTTTCAGCAATTTTTTAAACATGATTTTCCTGAAAAACATCAAATTACAAATCGAAAAAACGTTTACCGAACTTGTCTTGTATGCGATACACACATTAGGGAGCTGATGGTACTGGATGTTCCACCCCAGGTAAATTAAAACTTTATTTTTAAAAATTATAATGCAACTTTCAATTATTAAAAAAATATTATAGACGATTTCGGTCTCATATATTGCTCGAACCTATTATCCCCCCACTGTTACAAAATTATTCTTAATCGTATGAAATTTATGCCCCAACAAACTAATTTAGTAAAAATATTCAATTTCCATTTCCTTAGTATAATAGAAGAATTGTAATATGGCGTTCAGATGCACAAAACATAGCGGAACTTATATTAATGCTACAAAATTTCACCATCAAATTATTTCAACCTCCACAGAAGCGAAGAGCAGCGAGCCATTTCCTCGCATTCGCTCGCAGAATAGATATTTGAATTCGCTTCATTTCAAATTTCTTCCGAACTTATAATATTCACTGGCCATAAAATTATGAAGTAGTGAAACAGAAATGCAGTAATCAACATTTTTAAGTTGGAATGACTTGATGTGGTCAATTGCTGCTACACCCTTCCTTTCAGTTTTTTTTTGCAGAATTTTTAAACAGTTTGCCATGGTACAACATAGAACTCATATCAGCTGTCAATTAAAGCAATTTTAAGTAAATCTTCCGTTCTTGCTTCAATTTTAATATAACGACATTTTCTTTCAAATAATTATTTTATTTTTCAGTTCCATTTCATATCACATACAAATTGAAAAAAAAAAATATTAAATTGTTCTTTTTTTTTTTGCTTTCAATGGAATAATTTTATTTAAGTCCTTAATACTCGTAAATATCGATCGATATAACAATTTTTAAATTGAATTACCCATACATTTTTAACTTGCGGGCTTATCTTTTTATTTTTTTCGATTTTACATCTCGAGGATCAAATTTTTTTGTAAACCTAATACTTTTTCAATATCCTTGAACACGATAAAATAAAAATAAACAGACAAACAAAAACAAAAAAAACATGTTTCTGCTGAAACTATATGAAAATTTCATTTCGTCAATTTTCAATTCTTCACTTTAATTTTTCTTCCAGTATTACGAAAATTTTGAACATAAATCGTTTTATACGTATATGCGATAATCTCTGAGACATAAGTCATACACATCGAAAATATTCAGCACAAAATTTGAATTGAAAAATAAAACTAGACTTTTAACATAATTATTGAGGATATTTATTTGTTGTTTTATTAACCATATTGTCGCCTTACAATCATAAATGCACACAGTGTATTTTTATTTTAAACATTGGTACAATTCTAGTAATAAGCTTATATAGTAGACAATGATAAAGACTACTATATGGGCTTATTAATATCAATATATACATTATTTTTACTTAACTTCAATGTCAGCTATAGTAGTAGACTAGTCAAACTGGTGTCTCTTGCAAGAATTCCAAATTTTTTAATATGACAATTAAGACGAGGGTCATCATTAAATATTAAATCAATGGAACTAACTGAATACGCTCGGGGTTGTCCTTTTAAGGTATAACCCATGTTAATCAATAGAAAACGGCTATTGATATGACTGATCTACACCCTTGTAACTCGTTTATATTTAAAATGTTTAAACTTGATTATTATGGGGTTCGGTTCGTAAAATGAGTACTTACATACGTTTGTTGCCCAGAAAGATATTACTTAAATGTGAATTTTCTTAAACACACAAAAAAAAATTTATACACAAAATCAGAATATTTTTTTTTTTTTGAAAACCGTAATGCATCTAATATATCTTAAAAATTTGTATTAAAAGTTCATTAAAATTGCAATATTCATGCGAAAATTTTTATGTGATAAAATTTTATGTTTCTTTTATTTGCTACCCCGCAAACCAATAAAAATCATATACATAAGAAATGCTTTTTTACAACAAAAAACACTTTTTATTAAGAAGATTAACACCCATTACACTCTTTATATTAGTATATAAAAGAAGCACTTATTTAACACCTTCATTTTTTTTTTCTTAATTAACTATAATATTTTTAATCACTTGTAACTTGTCTGAATGTATTTAAGTCCTCGAACGTAATATTTACTACAGAAAATAATAATAAAATTTATACAGTTATTATCCACTTAAGGGATTTAACATAATTACATACTATACTACTTTATAACCTGCCAATCTTTACAACACAATGTATATAATTTGTATGTATATGTAATGATGGAAATAAAAAGCAAAATACCTTTTGTATATATATAGTATAACACTTGTATTCCTATAAATTAAATAAAAATGTCTTCGCGTTTAATAAAGAAAATTATATAGTTTTATAAAATTGATTTCAACAAGTCGGTAATTATTTTATTTTATCAGTTTTTCAAATAACTTTGGGGTTTCAACTTGTCAGAAATTAAATATTTAATTTCTTGATATTTTATATACATATATAAAATGTATAAAAGTGTATTAAAGATATTTTCATAAAACTCAAGAATAAAATAAATAAAATAAAAGATAATGCCCGTACATTATTCCTTACCTTTGTGAATTTCGAAATCAAATGATATTAAATTAATTGTATTGGAATTTAATCACTAAAAATATAGATGTCAAAGTGGTACTTTTTATTAATTATTCCCTATAGGTTCAATTACACTCCTTTTATTAAAAACTTTCTAAATTGAAGAAAATGTTTTCAAGTAAATTAAATTCGAATTTTAATTAAATTAAATATTTATAATATTTGTAAGAAATTTGAAGCATTTTGTAATTATATCAATAACTTCCAACTATATAGACCAAATCACATGTTTCTTCAAATTCTGGATGGAATATATATTTAAAACTGGGCAGATCTGGAATTTCAAAAAGGGTTATAAAATTGAACGAAAATCTATAATTAACTCTTACATTTAGTAAAAACTTATTTTCCCAATTATTGTCAATTAAAAAAATTTCCCATTGATTTCTATGAAAAATTTTTCAGATAACAATTGGAATTTTTAAGCTTTCATTTCTAAAATGCCAATGATTTTTTATTAATGTTTTGCTGAAGAATTTTTGGAACAAAGTATACGTTTAAAAAGAAACTAACAAGATTCACGGAAAACTTGTTTACTTAGAATATTTTTAGTACAGCTGGAATTAATATACAAAAAATACCAAATTTGGTTAATTAGTTCTCAATTTATTTTCTGCTTAAAGACCTTTATCGTGACCACTAAATATGTTAGCCTTTCCGTTTATAAAATTCTCACGAAATTAATTACAATTTTCACGCAAAACACATTTTTACTCAAACATTTCTCAATAGCTCAAATCAATGTTAAGATTCTTTAAGTTATGTTAACTTTTTCATCTTCATTTCTTACAATTTAAATATTATACAAAAACAACGCTGTAATGCATTTTACACATTAGTAATTTAAAAGAAAAATGCTCTTAAATATTAACACTCACTTTCTTCATAAAAAAGAAAAAAATAAGTTTTTTTTTCCCCGAAAAGCATAAAATGAAAACCAACATTCCTGTTGAACACTTGCTGTTACACATTTAAGATGAAAGTGTATACACACATTTACACATATTAAATATAAACTTAATACATATTAAATACAAATATAGTAGGAATCAGAATATTTTAAAACGATTGGATATGAAAAGAAAAAAAAATCATTACAAAAGAACACTGTGAGAGAGATGGTTATAAATTGTGTTATTAATGAATAGCTGTCAGTTATGTGTTGTCATGTAGAATACTCTACTTATTTTTCTTCACTTCTCATTTTTTTTTTGTTCTGCTTACTTGTATTAAATTAAAGATGGCGTAGGTGGTTTTACTGTAGGTTAAGGTTGAATTTTCTGGTTTTTGAACTTTTTTTTTTCTTTTTTTTATTATCATTATTTTTATTATCTTATTGTACAATACGCTTTGTGCACACATGTTATATGAATAATAATAATAATGTACGTAGATTCATTCATACATTCTGATGCATACATATTTATGTATAATATGAATGTGAAAATTTAAGTTTTAGTCATTTCAATAGAAAATTGATACAATCGCATAACGTTTTTTAATATTAAAAAATAAATAAGGTATAGTACCTTAGAAGAGGAATAAGAATTATAATTTGCATGAGACCATCATTTATTTTTACTATAAATTTAGATTTGCATGTTTAAAATTAATAATAATATGATATTTTATTAATGTTACGTGATAAATTTAAATATTAAGAAAATTAGAATTTCAATTAATAATTCAAGAATAAGATGTAAGTATCTTATAAGATTAATTTTGAATACCTGAAAGAAAAATAATAAATGATGTTTTCAAATTATTTTCTCAATCAAAAATATTGAAAAAAAGAATATATAAATTAAATAATAATTTAAGAAAATAATTGTACTTAAAAATTACACAAGTTCTCTTGAGTTTACACGCTGATGAATAATGCGGGAAGGTACTCTGTACCGTGATAAATACCATATATTAATGGAAACATGAAACCCCTCAATATATGCAATTTTTAGTTATTTATATAGTTTTGTTCTTAATTTCAAAATTAATTCAAGTACATTAATTTATGAAAATACAACTGTTTAATAGAAGCAGAACTTAGCTAAATGAACGAATAAAAGCAGAAATATTAAAAAAAAAATGTTCGAATTGGAATTGAACCAGTAACCTACCGCTTTCTTGGCAAACGCTTTACCAACTGAAATACATAGATATGAAGAAATTGTCGGCATGCGATCAATATGATCGTCGGTAAAACACAAAATCGCAAGAGCATTATTTTTTTAATAGCCCTATCTTTAATTAAATTTTAATAGAATACCTGCGCAAAAAACAAACAAATGTTAATTTAGGTAATTATTACTAATTCTACATTCCATATTATTAACTATTGCTTGAATTGGGCTCTATTACTTGAACTATATAGTTTGACAAAATACAATTAATAGTTTTTTGAATTTTGTTATTAAAATTTTACAACGATTAAAAAAACCAAATACGGAAATAAAAACCAAATTGAAATTTTGATCTCATCACATACAACACAGCATATGAGGCATTAATTTTGTGTATATAAAATATTAAAATGACGGAAATAAGTAAAAAATATTATTTTAACAAAATTTTAATTAAATCGTAATTTAAAAGCCAAGGCTATTTTTATGTTTCCTTTGTTAATACAAAACAGATTCAACTATACAAAATAAAAAACGCATATTATCTTATCTAGATTTCAATTAGATTTCTTCTTTTAATTTTCAAAACATTTTTTATATTTTTTTTCTTTGCATCCTTTTATATTTAGTTTATAAGTTCTCGTTATTCTTAGTTTAGAAGAAAAAAAAAAGGATAATTAATGTTTATTGTAAAAATGTATATTGTTGTAGCTAGCATTATTTTTCTTAAAGGATAAGGGTCAAAAAATGTGAATAAAGGAAATTAAAACTTAGGATAATACGGAAAAGGGTTTAAAATTCACGCAGCTTTAAATTATTACTAACCTAATGACAAAAAAAAAATAAGGGACCGGATATTATATGATTACTACGCTGACGGTTTTGTTTTTTTTTTTTTGTTTTTTTAGAACAAGAACAAAATGAGGCTACAAAAATTTAATGTTCTTGAAAATAAAATTTAAAAAGATAAAAAATGGGAAAATTCAGAAATTTTAAGGCAAAATTAAAAATGAATAGAAGAAGACTTCAATTCTAACGAAAAAAGAAAATTAATTTATTGTATATGTAGTAAAACCGTAATGTTAACAGCGTGTAATTAATTTTAATTGTACCAAAATATGAATTGAATCTTAATTATGTTATTTATATGTGATTTTTTTTGTTATACTCATAATTTTGAAATCATTTTTGTATTAATTTTAAAATAATATTAGTAAACATTGTGTAACTAATTTATAAAACTAATTCTATAATATTGAAAATGATTAAGATTAAGTTAAAAGTAACAAGGGTTCATTTATTTTATACTTTAACTTCTTTCAAATATTTTATATAATTTATGGTAATATTTTTTATTATAACATACATACATAGCTAAATTAACCTTAACGTCATGTACTTTAATTGGATAGATTTATTTCCAATATAAATATTGTATATACTATTATATAACATTATGTTTCTCTCATATTACATAAAATATATGGCAATATTTTATAGCACTATCTATAAAAAAAATTAGTGTTTGTTCAGCTATATTTTATTGTAAAATTCCTGATAGTAGCATAGCGAAATCAGCTCTCCATTTAATATCTTTTACCGTATGTAAATTTTGCTATGTATATTGTGTGGGCTACTATAAATTAGTAAAATTTCGAATGGTATTATGAAAATTTAGACCACTTTTTATATATGAAAATTTAGTATAAATATCTTACCATAAAATATGACAAAATTTGAATTTTTAAAAAACTATTGAATTTTTTTTTTCAGTGTATACATTACATAACACAAATTATAACTGCTTCATATAAACTACTTGACTTTGTAGTCCTTGTTGAAAAGCACCTTTTTATTCAAAATATTTCCCTATTTTTTCAATGTTTAAGAATTTTTTATGGTGTAACTTTTTAATAAAATTGAATTGCAAATTGTAAACGTTGGCTCCAGTCTAATTAATTAAAAGAGTACTTCTATACGAATATTAAATTAATTTTAATAATTTTTTTTAATATAACAACTTTGTCATTAACATTATTCATACGATTTTTACAATATTTATTTTTCCAATATTATCATGAGTCAAAAAGGATAATATATATTTTGTTTAAAGCTTTATGTAACCAAATAATTAAAATTTCCAAAAGTTAAAATGTCAGCATTAACGCAACTTATGTAATTAATTTTTTATTTTATTAATTACATAAAAAATTTTATATATAGAAATTCCGGAAATATTTTTTTTTTGTTAAAATAATAAAGGTATGCCTTATGTAACGAAACCACTCAAAAACTTCAAAAAAATTTTTATTATACTTTTTAAATTTATTTCGGATTGAATTATAATCGAATTGAGTACTGCAGTAATAATATATAATGTGTTATATTGTATGTGTAAGTAGAAAAACATATTGTACCTGTATGCACAAATCCTGTTTACATTTAGTATACGATAAGTTTTCTATCGTATACTAAATCTAAACTAAAAGTAATATATATATATTATGAATATAAAAATTAATTTCCAATATGCGATCTCACTTCATTTATCCGATTGTGTTAAAAATTTTGGTGATAACACACAAAATCAGATCAACTTTGTTACAAAGAAATGATATTTTCTGAGAATTTTCATTAAAGTATTTCCATTTCCAAAGTGATTTACATCGAAAGTTTTTTATAGGTTTACTAGTTTCCAAGTTAGTTTGATTAAGTAATGACAGTTAATTGCCATTCTTCAAATGCTAATCTAAGAATTAGGGTTAAGTGATTTCTTTAAGCCACACAATAATTTCTTCATAATTAGAAACCTTTCATATTCAAAATTTATTAAAGCTCTTCAGTGAAATATATTATAGATAATCAATAAATTCAAATTAGAAAATCAACAAATTCTTTTCTGTACCGCGTCCGTTAAGGTATAATCATTCTAAACATTTTTGACATATTTTAAGCGTTAGAGTTAAATGAACATTGAGCAATGAAAAATATAAACCCATACATAATTTCCTTATTTTAATCTAAATACATTTAAATATCTAATATTATATACATTTTATTTTGCTTTTAATTTAAAGAAAAAATTTCCTGTTGACAATTTTGCCGAATGGAATAATGGTCATCCACTGGGGTTGCGAACTGTACATGCTTACGTTTTAGTATATGATATGGGAAATTTAGAAACATTTCAGGTAAAATATAGCTAAATAATTAAATTTTTGATTTTTTAAATAAATCTTTAAAAAATTTTTTTAATTATTTTAGTACTGCCGAACAATGAGAGATCAAATACTTGATAGTTTTGGTCATCGTGATTTTAGTATAATTGTTGTTGGTAATAAATTTGATACACTTACTGAAACACAAGCACATTCTCAGGTGATTTTTAAATTATTTTTACTTTTTTTTTTTATTTTTTATTGTTTTGGTGTCTTCTGAATCGCCTGTATGTATATATATTTAATTCAGCCCCTCAGGTTTAGAACTTTCTTTATGTACCTCGCTATATTCCGCTTATTTCGAATGTCGTGAAAAGAAAAAGAAAAAAATATGTGATTATAGTCTTTAATTAAATTTTTTTTTTAAATTCAAATTCAAAATTAAAATTATTTAAAAAAAAAAAAAGAAAATTTTTTCAATTTTTATTTTAAAATTGAAAATTTTAATTTATTTTTCAAAACTTTTTTTATACAAGTTTTTCTTTTCCCTGACTTGGTCGCTTATCGTTTACCATATTGCTATGCTAGTAGTATTTTTTAAGCGAGCAGTGATGCTTTTCAGTAGTTTAAAAGGTATGGAAATTTCAAATAAATATTTATATTTATTAATAATTGGGAGGAAGATAGAAAATAAAAGAAGACCTTCAGCAGTAAGACATCAAACAAGAGTTACGACTAAAACCCATCCACTACAAATTCAGTTCTATTGAACTCCAAGAAAAATAATCAACTTAGTATTTAGAACCTCTTAGCATGAAATTAATTTTATATAACCCTTAATAATAACATTAAATTTTATTTTATTATCATAGGATTTAAAAGACATTTCAACATTAGTACGTAAACATTGGCGATGCGGATACGTTGAGTGTTCAGCTAAGTAAGAATAAAAATAAATAAATTTATTTTTTTTTTGTTTTCACCTCACAATTTCCTATAATATTATAAAATCAATATAAAATATTTATTACTCTTTTATAACAAACACTCACATATACATATATGTATTTATGTTTATAGGTATAATTATAAAATTGGTGATGTTTTCCGTGAATTAATGGGTTGCACATCAACAGGATGTCAACAGGGTATTGATTTTTCACAATCAAATAGAAATAAAGGTCGTTGCAATATTCTCTAGCAATTTCTTAATAAATTTACTCAAAATTGGTAGGAAATAAAAAAATTTTAATTTAACATTATAAAAAAATGAATAGTAATATATTATAATAAAATTATATAATAAATAATTGAATAAATTTAATGTTGAAAATTTTTAGGAAAACAAAAGAATAAAAAAAATTTTAAATGAATGATTGCTTATTATTTATAAAAAAAAAACAAATAATACAAAAACTGAATAAAATTAAAATATAGTCGGACTAGTTTTCGAATTAAATATATATATATATATATATATAAAATGTATGATAAGTTTGATAAAGTAGAAAAATGAAAATTTTTAGAATAAAAAAATTAAAAAACAAAATGAAATAAATTTATAACAATAATAAAAAATAAATAGAAAACAAAATACAGTATAAAAAAAAATTGGAAAATTTTAAAAGTTCTAATCAAAAGATTAAAAAAAAACAAGAAAATAAACACAAACACAAAAAAAAATATACATTTAGATAGCTCACCCTGTTACTGCTAAAACCAAACAAAAGAAAAAAAGAATAAACATTGTAAAAATGAATTTCAAATTTTAAAGGATAAAAGGAAAAAGGAAAATTCATATTTTTATTATACTAGCTGTATCCTTTTTCATCCTCTTACACTAAATATTCCGAATACATTCGAATACAAAAAGGAACAACAAGAAATTATTAATTTATACCGAATAAAATGTCATTTTAATAAAATATTTTATGATTTTTAAATTTATGTTCAGATTATTGGATTTTTTACGATAAACACCCATGTACACATATATTTACATATAAAATTTCCCTCATGAAAATATTTATTATACAATGACCACAATTTTTATAATATTGTATTCCAATTTCTTATCTATTTAATTTATTCTTTCATATCTTTGTTGCATTAATTTATATACTCCCTATCAATCTCAATTTCAACAACAGCTCTCTAAAGTTATTTACAAAAAAAACGACAATATTTTTATCAATATTATGTGCGTGAAGTTTTTTCTCTTCGCTTCATTTTAATAATCATAAATTTTGAATTTTATTGTTATAAAGGAAAATCTTTAAAATAGAACCCAAAAACGCAGTGAAATTTAAAGTAGTAAATATTATAAAAATAAAATATTTAATGGAGATTTATTGTATATAAATATTGGAGATTTTTAAACAGCAGGAGCACTTTTCTATTACAACAGTGCACTTTCGAAAGAGGTCAATTTTTCAAATAAATTTTCTTTGTTACTTTACTCACATCGCAATTAACTTTAATTTATTTTTAAAATAGGTTTTTTTTTGCAAATAAATTTTTTCCATTACAGTTGCACAAGGATACGTAAATTATTATAGAACTTTCAACAACATGTATACAAAGTTATTTCAACCATTTATTTCAACATTATCATAAGTAAACAGTGTTAGGCACAATGCTATTATTTCTGCTCTGATATTTGATATTAGTCTCTACAATGCTTCCAAGTAAAATAGTGGCAAATTGGCATATCTCCAAATTCCTTGACGGATGATCTGAGTAAAAAGTGTGACTAGGAAAATTTCAAGTAACAAATTAACAGAGAACTACAAAATACCATTTAGAATCTAAATTTAGTTAAATATGTTGAGCGTTTTATAAGACTTCTTTATGACTTCTGGGGAGGCTAAATATAGATCTTCGACTATAAGGTTGGAAAATAAACTGTATTCTCCAAAACATATTTTCCAAAATTAAAAAGTGGAAAATATTTTCCAAAATTAAAAGAATTTATATCTGTGAACAGCATTAATATCAACACTCTTCGTAGAGCCCATTAGTTTCACGTCATTATTTTGCGCCATTTCGGAAAAAAATCTAAAATCTCACTGGTGTGGTGATTTTAATTTTATTTATAGTTACTCCCTCCGATTCTCTCTCAGTCTTCTTTCTATTTACATTGGTGAATTATACTCGCGGATACTATTCCATTCAATTTGGCACCATTCCATTAATTTTATTATATTAAAACTATAACATAATTTCCATTACCATTTGATATTTAGCCAAAAACTGACTTAAATTTTCCAAAACGCACACAGAAAATACATACTTTCTATTATTCACCAATTATATGAAAAGTGCATGTACTCTCTATGTATATACATTATGATAATGTTAGTTGAAACCAAATTTGCCGTTCTTTTTTCCAAAATTAATTTGCAATACCTTATTTAACAAATATTTTATATTGTTTTGAAATTCATATTTACAAAACCCTTAAAGTTCATTCATTTACAAAAAAAAATATACATAATATGCAAATTGTTGTAATTATATAGAATCAAAATGAATTAATAAACATTAATGTAATATTATAAAATTAATTGGTATAAATAGATTAAAAATCATTGATTAATATCAAAGACAAGAACATGCATATACTTATACCATAAAATGAATCAGAATTTAAAATAATAGTAATTATTAATTAAAAAAAAAATAAAATGTTAAAAAATTTGTTAAATAAATTTATATTTAAATATTTGTGACAAATAAACAGAAAACATTTAACATTTTAATTAATTAATTATATATATATATATATGTAAATATAATTATAATTAATTATGACAGAAAACACATTAACAAAATATATATTATAATTTACAAACAAAATATATATATATAAGTAGATGCTTAATAAAATATTTATAAATATAAATGAAATTATAAAAAAAAATTAATTTAAATTGTACAATACGTGCATAAATATTACAAATATATATACATATAATACATATATTGAAAATGTATATTATGTAGAATGATTATTATATGATGATTTTATTAATTATTATATATCACTACAAATTAGAAATGTTATTATAATTTAGAAAGAAAATGAGAAAATTATCTAATAAATTTGTTAAAATTATTTAATAATTATTTTTATCCACAATTAAGTCTGATTTTTTTATTTGATTGATTCATGTTTTGGAACCCTATGCAACACAACCATAATAATGGTACAAGAAACAAAATTTTTTATTGCCCTTGAAAATTTTAATCTCTTAATTTATCATCTTTTCTTAGCAAAAATCAAATCTTGGCAAAAAAAGAATGTTATAAATATATTATGCAGGCCGTTTTTGAAATTAATCCAACCTGTCAACATATCTGATCTGATACATTTATCCAATAAGATTCATAATCGACAATTTGTTCTGATATTAAAATTTTATATTTAAATATCAAAATATAATATTACCATAATATTACCAGTCTAAATAGTATGTGGTTAATTTTTTCTGAAATGAAACTTAACTGGTTGCCAGCACAAAAATTTCTTATCCGTAATATTATCCGTAATGATATATATATAACATATATACTAGTTTATGAGCTTTAATAGTAAAAAGTTTAAAAGACCGCGTCATTTAATCTTTAGCCTCGTCTTCACGTTTATTTTTTCCTTTCAGTTATATTGAATTTAACTTTGACAAATTAGTAAAATTAGCACAAAGTCAATATTTTTTTATTAAATTAAAATTAAGGTTTCTGAACACAGGACAATGCAAGGTATAACAAAACATGAACAAAAACAATTATGAATATTTAATTCATGAATATTAATAAATTTTTAATTCAAATTATTCCGTAATCGTTTAATTTCCATAAAATATTAAAAATTATGTTAAATACTAGTATAGATTTTACGTATTATTTTTTTTTAATCCTTAAAACTAATTGATTTTTTGCTAACCATTTTCCTTATATGAAAAACTTATTTACCAAATACCTATACAATAAACAATATTATTATTAAAAATTGAAAATTTATAAAAAACAAA